AGTATTCAATAGTAGTTATAGATGCACTAACAAGAGCATCAACTTCCACCCAATGAGTTAAGTAGTAAAAAGTAATAATAACATACTCATTACTAGCAATTGACTATGTTAAAGGCTCTATCACATCAAATGCTACCAACTCAAATAGATGGGAAATTATAATTAACTCTAATTGTCCTTCTATAGTATGTGGGGAAATATTATGAGTTTAGCATTAAACACAACTACACACATATTAGCATTATATCTTCCACCAATAAAAAGACATATATAGCTTCTCATTTACACAATAATATCTTATATACCCATCTAGAATATGAGAATCATGATAAATATGGAGAAAACACAAAATAAACATCAAAAACATTACCAACCATAAATGATCATTAGGACCTTTCCCAACAAAATAAAGAAGGTTGTCTTTAAATGCTAAATGGCAGTTATCAATAAGTAATATAACATTCTTAAACCCATTATAAAGCTTTTAGATTCACAGCTTAACCTTTTACGTTTTATGAACCTCGTTAAAAATAAATAAATTTTGCTCTGCATCTTGTGGATATTGAATATTAAATACAACAACCTCTGACAACACAGAATTTTTGTCTAGAAAATTCACAGATATTGGAATAACAAATTCATTAGAAACATAAAAAGAGAGCAAAGAAGGGAGAAAAATTCAAAAAAGGGCATCAGTATTAAACATAGAACTCCTTAAGCAATAAATAACCTTGAAATTATATATCTAAAACTTCAAAGTCTATCGAGTAATATAATGAACCAAGTTCTTTTGCTTCAATAATAAAGTAATTGTTGCATGATCATTTTTTAGTAATGTCTGAAAACCATGCAAATATGCATGAAACTTCTCAAAACCTTAAACTACTACTAAACACTTTTTTATCATGAAGTAATTCACCTCTATTAATTGTAATATATTGCTGATGTATATAATGGGATGATGCTAACCATGCACACTCATACCTTTTTACATCAAGACATTCATGAGACCGATATCAAAGCATCCATATGTAATATGAATGATCAAGTGTATTTAAAATATGCCAAAATTGGAGGAGCCATTAATATCTCTTTGAGATCTGTGAATGCCCGTTCATAGTCCTTTGACTAAATGAAAGATAATATTAACAACTTCAACAACACTCACAATAGTACAATATGATAAAAAAGATAATCAATAAAATAATTGAAATACTATATTTTGTTTAGGAAGTGTTGCACATCATTCACACACTTCGAATATGAAACTTTAGAACAACTACAACTTTGTCATGATTAATTTACAAACCCTCACAATAAATATGATACCCAAGATAAATTATATTCTTGGATCCAAATATGCACTTTGACCGCTTTAATTTTCAACTAACTTCCTGTAGCTGATATAACACTTTGTGAATATCATAGATGTGTTCCTCCTATGTCCCTTTTAAATGGATTAAAACATCATCGATAAAATTAATTGTCACCTTTAGTATATTGCAAAAAAATTTACTTGTCATCCGCTAGAAAGTCGCTGAAATAATGCTTAAACCAAACAGCATCACCAAGAATTTGTACAAACCACATAGTATATAAAAAATAGTTTTGGGAACTAATCATCCACTCATATTGTAGTCTCACAGTGAAACTTGTATCATTATCTCTAATACTAGATATAGCGCACTTTATCTCCCTCCCTTTAAGTTAACTAGAAAATGAGCAATTGCTTAATAAAAGAACCTTTAATAACTATTTTATATTTTTTTATTTCTCAAGGTTTTAAGGATCTAAAATCTCATTCCATAATCACATATGCTATAGCAAGTAGGCTATCAAATATTAAAGTTGGTATTTCATATTGGTCAACATGTGCTCAACATATGCTCCACTATGCCAACCATAGGTCTTTTGTGGTGCAAATCTACATATAATTCTTGTAGGCAAATATTGGGCCATGGACATCTGTGAATTTTTATGAGAAATGGAGATCAAATGCCAATCCTTAGTCATTGACACCTTGCTCGTGAGCACACTGTAGTTGAGTTGGAAGCAAAACAAAGGTGACAACACTTCTCATTGCAAATGCTGACGGCTATGTAAAGATCATACTAAGGTTTCAACCCAGAAGGCATCATGAGGGGCAACAAGCATATCAGTGAAATAAATGGCTCATGAGATCAGCAAAACAGCTTACTATAGTCTGTCTGTCTTAGTGGGCACTGCAAGACCCTGTAAACAGTTAATGAATGAATGAATGAATGAATACTTACCATTACATGTAGATGCTCCTGCTTGAGGAAGACTATAACCGATAAGCACAGAGACTGGAGCAGCATAAGCCGTAGAAGCCAGAGTCACTTCTTGTGACACTCCCGTTGCAGCAACCAAACCATCCACTGCATGCTTGAACAGAAATGGAACTTGTACTTTCAGAACCTGCATATACGCATACAAGCACAAGAAGATGAGAGCTATCTATCCATCTATATTCTGTTTTGGCAGTCTGGCGGTGCCCAACAAGAAGCATGAGACTGCAAACAAGTTTGCAAGTTTGTTGTGGAGGTCTTCTCACTCCCTCCATCTCCACGCTCACGGTTACATAGGAAGAACGAAAAATGATACCACCAATTAAAAGAGCCAGCGAGACAACGACTCTCCTGCGAAACTAGTAGAACAGCAGCTCTTCGAAAGTTGTAGACTTTACCTTGCTCTTGGTCTTCCTAGCTCTTCTTGGTTTCAGTGGGCTGGGAGTTCTTGGCCTCTCTTTGTCCCATAGCTTCTCTTTGCAATAATCTTGGTTAATTATTTTGCTCCTTGTCCCTTTTTGCTCTGTCATGCTCCTTGCTAAGTCGGATGTGAAGAGTGTATCTTGTGGCGTGGGCAGACAAGGTGTGATACAGCCTGAGATTTGGATCGAGAGACTCCCAGATTATCCTTTTAGAAAAGATAGAGAAACAAGAGCGCACAAAGTGGCACACCAGATATGACGATCTAGAAGGCAATCCAGAGAATAATCCGTCATGAGCAACAATGCTGAAAGCTTTGCCCCTCCTGTGATCGATTCTGCACGAGCTGGATTGATGGAAACCCGATCGCAGGCGAGCGCCATTGCACCCAAGAGAATTATTGGTCTGCCAACGTGGAAATACGTGGCGCGCAAACTAGCAACGTGGAAGCTTTGCTGGCGGCCAGATCAACCTCCATGGAGAACACACACTTGATGCAAGAACCGGACGAGAGAAGCTTCACTCCTTCGTTTAGTTCTGAGAATGGTAGCCTGTGAGTGATGTATCCGTCGAGATTGATTTCCTGGACGATCCACGAAAACTTAGAATTCTTCCAGCTTGATCAATCTAAACAAACCTTTGTGGAGCACATATCCACGAGCTTCTGCATGTCGGATTTGCCCCTGAATCCACCAAAGTATCCCGACTTGAGTTGCCGACCCGAGAGGAGAATCGCGGGTGGGAATGTCACCATCTCATCAGGCCTGGGAGCTCCAACCATGACCGTTGTTCCATACTAAACAATCCCGGAGGTAAAAGTTAGCAAGCACACTGCTGGAAACTGAGCTTTTCACTCACGCTTGTGGTGCTAAGCAAAGCTTGTACCAACAGATGAGGCTTGCCGACGCATTCAAAGCAGTAGTCGACTCCTCCATTCGTGAGCTCGAGAAGCACCTGAGAGAGAGTGACAGAAACATGGGTGATAAAGACGAGAGTTAGAACACACAACCTCATGAAGCGGCGCTTCGTGGTCCTGTGGATTTAGACACTCGGTCGCACCAAATGCTCTGGCTGCGCAGAAGAAAAGCTTAGCACTTAGGGGTATTTGACGAGTAAAACACCAGCTGACCAGCTTCGAATTTTCGAGGTAACATATCGATCCCAATTATCCGAGTTGCACCGGCGATTCGAGCGCCCTCGACAGCCTGAAAAGCAAATGGTTTCTCTTCCAGAACTTTAGGAAAAGCTATAGAGTACGTACTGCTAGCCCGACGGTTCCCAGTCCAATTACAGCAACCGTGGAGCCGGCTTCGACGTTTGCTAAGTTTAATGCGGATCCCAAGCCTGGAAACAAAGAGCTTATCAGCAAAGGAATGCGCAAGCGAGGAACGTACCGGTGGGAATTCCACAGCCCAGAAGACAAGCGCTCTCCAGTGGAACCGGATCAACTTTGACAACCGAGGTCTTGTCCAGCACCGTGAACTCCGTGAAGGTGGACGTGTTCATGAAGTGGTGAATGGCACTGCCGTCAAGCGAAGAGAACCGTGCCGTGCCATCGAGAGGCATGAAAGACTTGAGCAAGTTCCCGAAGCTGACCTCGCAGTGGTTCGTGGTGGAGAGCTTGCAAAGCTTGCATTTCCCGCATTCCCCTTGGTAGACGCAAATGACATGGTCACCGGGAGCAAACTCCGTCACTCCTTCGCCAACGCTCTCCACAACTCTGGTTGGATTGAGAAGATCACAGAAAAAAAAAAACAAGAGTAAGAAACACACTCCTCAGATCAAGACAAAAGGGGGAAATGGAAAAAGAAAAATTCACTCTTTACCCAGACCCCTCGTGTCCAAGGATCACCGGATACTTGAGCGTGCCCTGCGAAACAAAAGGATTAGCACGGAGCAAAGAGATCGGAAGAGTTTCAGCACAAACTTACCCAGTCTGCGCTGGTAATGTCCATGTGACACAGCGACGAGTAAAGGACTTGCATGCGAATCTCTCCAGATTTTGGCGGGTCCACATTGATCGTCTCGAGCTCAATCTCCGATCCAGCGCTGTGAAGAACAGCAGCTGGAGAGAAGGAAGAAGATCACCCAAAGCGAAGTCAATAGCGACAATGGTACCTCTGCATTGAATCGTTCTCCCCACCGTAGACGCCATTGGGGTTGGAACGGGCGGCGGCCGCTACTTATGCGAGAATATACTCCAGAATATACGAGACTATACTCCAGAATATGCGCCTCGCGAGAGAAACCCCATCGCGCTAGCGACGAACCATCTCAAACGAAAACGCGTTTCAGGGTTCTTGAGTGGTATGTACAAAGGTTTTGGTGCGTCGCCACTAGGCTAGTATCGCTACTTCCAGCGATAGACAACGACGAAGCACGGGAGCACGGCCCTGGAGCTCGTCACGTACAGGTCGTCCACATTCGAGAACGGCCCCATCTCTCCGGCGATGGAGTCGAACCCACTCGGGACCACCGCGTCGCCGCCAAATCCCTTGTGCATCCTCCCCGCGATCACTCGGCACACGAGCATCGCGTGGAGATCATCCTCGTCTGATAGATCCAATCGCTCCTTTGTTTGGAGCGAATCGTGAGCTCTGCCGCTGGTGGCGGTGGTGTGGATCATCGATCCTCCACCGCCGCTCCCCCGGAAGCCCGACTTGATGATCCGGCACGCGCTGCAAGCCGGGGAGGCGCAGATCGACGAGGATCCGTGCGCGCCCAGGCTGCATTCCAATGTGGCGGCGTGGAATCGCAGGAGCTCGTTCCCATCCGCGATGCACCGTGCGTGTTTCTTGGGCAGCGAGCTCGCGCGGGATTTGACAGCGTCGCGGTACTCCTCGAATCGCGAGATGGTGCGATGGGTGTTGTTCACCTTGAGGACGCGCTCGATCTTGGGCGATGCTTCCGGAATTCCTTCGTCCCTCTTCTTGAGCCAGCTCGTCCGGAAGATGATCTCCACGATGTTCTTGGACGAGTCCCCGCGGCCTAGCTCCGTCACTGCGGCCATGGCGAGGATCGAGAAACCCGTGAGCATAGAAACTTTGCTACGTATGACATACGTATCTAATACGTACCGGCGTGCTTGGTGGCGTGGTGTTGCTCGAGCGCCTCAAACTTGGCGAAGCTCTCGCCGCATCTCTGGCAGGAGGGGTAGGGGTAGCGGCACAGCGACGAGCGCGACGATGGATCTCGCGAGATGATCGCGCCAAACGCCTCGTCCGCCACGTTGCAACCGTGGCACCCGCCTCCAAATCTCCGGGAGGAGCTCATCGTGTTCTTTGGAAGCGCTGGACTTGGGTGTTTGAGATTTGGTGGGCGCGATCCCTCGGTAGACTGTGAATGCCGCAGCCGGGCATTTGCCGCAGAGACGAGCTCCGAGGAGGGCGGGTTCCAAAAGAGCGATTTGGCGTCGAGGAGGGGATCGTTCTTGGCGTTGGTGTGGGAGGAGATCGCCGCGGGGCTGCAGGAGGCGGATTTGTGGACGACCTTGGTGTTGCCGTGGATCACGTCCTTGAGATTGGAAAGAGATCTGGAGCAAGTGCTGCGGAAGGGCTTGATCTTGGAGGTGGAGGACGATGAGACCGCCGAGATCGAGATTGGGCTGTGAACTTGCTCGTCCCTGTTGCTCTTGCACGACAGAGATTTGGTCCAGCTCTTCCAAGGGGCTGGCATTGTTCTGTGCTGCTTTGCCCTTTGAGAAAGAAGTATCTATCCTTCGATCTAGAGGGAAATGCGAAGAACCAGGAAGCCCATCTTAGAATAGATCAAGGAATTGTCGCCTTTCGAGGGATGAGAGAACAAAACCCAACCAAGAACACCGAGCTTTGTGTCTGGAGCTCTTTGCTTCTACGTTGGACCAAACAAAAAGAACAACTCCATAAAGGCGAGCACCCTGATTTCTCTTTTGTTTTTCTGGGAACGAAGAAAGCTACGCTCACCTCGCTCTCTCTCGCTCGCGCTTTTGCTACATTTACTCTCGAGCTACCAAAGCATGGATGGAATCAATGATATGAATGTGAATGAAAAGACTCCAGGAAGGCGAGCGAGCGAGCGAATGGCCGAGTGAATGAAGAACGATTCGAATTAAAGGCAAGTGGAATGAATGAATGAGATGACTAAAACACTGCTACCTTCTTGCGCTCGTTGTCTTCGTGATCTTGGATAATTCCCCTGCTCCAGACCAAAGTTTCTTCGATTAAAACATTGGATTCGAGGATATGGAATGGAGGATGAGACACCACTATGAACTTAATAGGAAGAACAGGGATCACAGATATTTGCTATCTCCCAACTTATAACGCGACGACGAAACAGCGCTGTGCAAAGCTGCTACTCCTGGCTTATTGCTTGGAGGACTCATATTCTGTGGCATATACCTCAACACCCAACACATGGAGGCAAGACGACTTATTAGCATCTTAAGATAATCCGTGTACCCTGTAGTGAATATCAGCCCAGAGAATATTTTCCGCAATGGTACACAAGTTGGCACAAAAGTTTGTTAGTAAGGACGCTTGAATTAGTGTGGTTTAAACAATAAGAGGAAATGGTCTAGTGATATGATTCTTGCTTCGAATAGCAAGAGGTCCCGAGTTCGCTTCTCGGAATGCCCCACAAGGGCATCTGCTGTCTTTCGCCTTTACGAACACGCTCTTTTCATAAATGCCGTATCCCAAGCACACAAGGCATGGCTGACATTTTTGTGCCTGTTAGCGTGTAAGTCATTTGTGTATGGAATCTTGCATGTAAATGCCGTATTTATACTGTAGTGGAAGGGAATAGAAGCAAACACGGTCACGCATAAAACACTTTCTCCTCATGGACTCGGTTTATAAATATTCCAAGAAAGATTGTTAGCATTGGCACTCACATCGCTTTCACTAATCACTCTGGAGTCTGGACCGCAACTGCTTCTAAGTCAGCAAATTAATATAAAGTAATCTAGTAAATTAATGGTGAGAGTCAACTTAGCTTAGGCAAGGTGACAATGAAAGGCAAGGTAGAGGGCTCACCATCCCCTTTGTTAAGTGTTGGAGCGAGTTTCATATGAGAAATGCTTTCGTTATAGCACAGAAATCTTTAGCTTTTGTTGATCATTCTAGAGCAACCGAAGTTTGCAAGCAGCCGCTTGTAACTCAAAGCTACGATAAAATAAAATGATCTAGTAAACAAATGGTGAACTTAGCTTGGGTTGACCTTTATGCTCCCACTTTGTCTTTCTAGGTATATCTGATGATATGTGTGAAGTTGATGTGTGGTTTCATTCTAACGGATCTCAGAAATTCAAACTTATGGATGGAAGAGATATCACTAACATTGAGATGGAGTGATATGAAAAAAATCACTAACACAGGGAAGCAATGTTATTTGGTGAATACTATTGCTAAAATAGCTTTTTCAAAACAGGTAGGAGATTCCCCGCAGAGAGGCAATATTCCATCTCTGGAATACTCTATCTCCATGTATAAATGCCATTGGGGCAAATATCAAGGTTCCACTCCTTTCTCCCCTTTGAGAGCTTGAGCGTGAGCTAAAGCGATGTGAGTGGTTCCTAGAGCATGAAGGTTGGGGTGATACCCTCAACAAGTGGTGAACCCGACATGTGACTATAATCTAGTGTTTTTCTTCTTCTTCATCTCTGGGGTCAGAGGGGTATATCTGGTATATACCCTCTATATCGAGTTCAATTTGAGCGTCATGTGAGTGGAATTGAAGTTCTTCGTTGAATTAAGGACTTGGCTATGGTGGCAATCTTCTTTCCATGAGTTCTCTTGATCTACAGCACCTGCTGTTTGTTTCTAGTGATAGGTTGAAGTGCAGCATGGCCCAAGATTCATTTAGACTGGGTGAGGCAATTCATGGTCAACACCCTGTTTTTCCGTGAAAAGAAGTCCAGCAATTTATGCAGCCAATGGTGGAGTTTGCAGTTAGATCTGGTCGTGGTGCACAAGAGAATAGGCCTCCCAATACCATAGAATATTCTTGGAATATTTCTGTGGTTTGTATAGCTTTGAGAAGATGAGGAGAGTAGCTTTCTTGCATGACAATATAGTTATAGAAATAAAAGAATGAGAATGCAACTTAAATCATATCAATATAGCTATAAAACTTAATTTTCCCATCCTTCAACCATATCATCCTTATTTTCCCATTATAGCCTCATCTATGTATGATTTCTAATTTTTTTTGTAATGTGTCTTCACTAACCTTTAAGCAAACATATTGGCTAGACTAACATTCTTAACATCAATCTCTAAGATTTGGATGATTAATTTATCTATGATATTATAAGAGTGTAAACATGTTTACACTTGTTCATATGAAACATTAAATAAATTTTCAAACTAGTTAGCAAGTCCAAAGTGTAAGCATGATGATGATTATCTAATAACAATGATGTTCATTAGCTAATTTTTTGTCTCTGCCGCGAATATGAATGCATATATCAAAAGCTATCTGTTGGCTAGTTGTTTTAGATATTTTTTCCTTACTACCATGATGGGAAGAGGTCGGTATTATTGGACCTTTTATCAATCTTTTTTAGCATACTCGACTTGGCTCTTAGTTCTCTTTTGCTCTGTCTTGCACTAGTTTGACAAGAACCCTCGTGTATTAAGATTAGTCCCTTAATATTGTTAGATGATAGCTTATTATGTTTATTAAGCACCCTCATCTTGTGTTAGTACCATTTGGTTTTAATTGCTATTTATGGAAATTGTCTAGATTTGCTAATTTGGCATATTTAAGCTTTATTTCGTTAAAGTGGGAATTGTCATTATCCCACTTGTAAAATAAGGTTTCCAAACCTTTATATAGTATATAAATATAACAAAATTCAACTGCATTGAGGCACATGCCATTTTATTTTAAACAGGGAAATGTCTACTCAATCACTTCTCCTCCCCCTGCCACTGCTTCACCTTTCTCTTCTCTTTGTCATCGTTGTCCAATTTCTTTCCATCCTTTTAATATTGGCTCAGTTGCTCCGAGTCTAGGTGGAGCCCAAGTCCCCATTCAATCTTTACTTTCCCCTTATTAATAAAACAACTTCGTAGACTTCCAATAACATGCTGTAACACTTCTAGTATAATGCAAATCCTCTCAAAGAATTGTCTTTTAATATTAATACAATGGCATGGAACCCCATGCCATAATAAGTTACATTTTTAAATAAATACATGCCATCTCAGACTGTTATTTTTTGCCTCCAACACTTATACAATAGTCTTGGAATTTCATCACTCTCCACACTATCAGGATTTAAACCCAATAGTAATGCCATCTCTTCTCTAATACGTCCATGCTCATGTTCAGTGGTCGAAGAACCCATCCGGTTGAGCAGATTATAAAGATGCGGATAGTGCTTGGCTAGACAATATACATGCCATAAATGATGATTGGTGTTTGTCCGATCAAATGGCTTCTGATATACCGTTCCATCTGCCATTTGGTTGATTTCTGCAGCCACCTCCTAGACTGGCCAGTTCTCTATCACCATCGCTCCAAGCCGTTTTGCAAGGTCCCCCAAAATATACGGTTTCTTCTCCCTAGTTTCCATACTGCAAGAGATGGGGTGCACTGCATATGTGTGCATGTTTGCTGCAGTTTTAATCGGCGAGTCATCGATGATGAGGATTTCACTTGACCTAGCAGTCTGGTTCATCACTACAGCCTCTGGCTTGATGAAGATGGGCTTGCTACCCCTCACATGGACCATAGTCAAGCAATCCTCCTGCGTTAGGAGAAAGTCAAATGGTAATATTACTCGCGTCTGATCATGCATCATCTGTAGCAACGTTAATGCATTGTGGCACATCATGGATGTCCAAACTCCCAATTGCAAATTGAACCCGGCCCTCTGTTTTAAGTGTCGCATGGTCATTATTAGATCCCGTAGTTTCTCCCGTGTGATTAATGTGAATCTGTCTCTTTTGACCAATTTGCGACCGCAGGCTTTGGAGGGTGCAGTGACATTCAAGGACGAGCCACGCTCATGGGAGAAAAGGACACCGTTCAGATCAAAAACGATACAGTACCTTCGCCGTGACTCTGAAATGAAATGCGTCAGCATAAAAAATGGTACAAGTCAATTTTACCATCTACAATATTAGCGAATGGTGCTCCCGATGGTCGTTGAGAGGGTTTTGGTCAAGGAAACGTGAAGGGCGGAAATACTCTCCTCTGCAATGTGGGGTCAATCGCATCCGATGGCGTGTGGGCACATGCCATTTCAGCTGTAGACTCTGGTACAACTGGCTCAACAGTGGCATGGGGTGGTTCCGATGGCGTGTGATCACACGCCATTTCAGCTGGTGCCTCCGTTGGCAAAGTGGACATGACCGAACAGGCAGCAGGGGCGGTGTAGGGAGGTTCCAACGGCGCGTAGTCAGACGATTGGGCACATGTTGAGTCCGTTGGAAATGAGGATACGAACGGCTCAGCGGCTGGGGCGGCCTCATGCAGGTCCAATGGCGCCTGGTCACCGTCAGTTGGGTACGTGGACAAGATTGACTCAGTGGTATGGGCAGCATCAAGTGGAGCGTGGTCAGCTTGCTTGGCGTTGATATGGATAGTAGCCTCCACCAGCTCTGATGACTCTTGCAGGCAAGTAGAGTCCACTGGCGGATCCATATGCATGTCCAAATATCTCCCTTCGATTGAGATGGTATCCTCCCGTGCTACTAAAAACAAACTCATTAGCACATTGAATCAACTATACTGTATTTACCATCAACTGCTATTGAGGAACTAGGACCGATATCACTTGGGCGCACTGCTGATTCTGAAGGATTGGACATACGTTTCGACCCTTGCTTGGCACTATCCTTCCTCGACACTAAAGGCTAGAGTTTGTAAATTCAACTGAATAATCTCTACTTACCATTTGCTCTGCGACCTACATGGACAATGTTAGAAATGGTAAAAGGTTAGGAATGGATGTACTATTATTTACCTGATGGTTTGTCTTGTATGACCTTCCTCCGCTGCTCTTTGGCCACCTCAGGCTGGCCATCGTCGTCATCATCGTCGTCGTCGTTATTGTGATCGTCACCATTGTGAGGACCATCCAAGTCCTCTTTGTCCTCCTCTTCTTCGTCCTCCTCTTCTTTGTCCTTCTCTTCGTCCTTCTGCTCTTCCTGCTCATTATCTTTCTCTAGCTCCTCATCCCCCTCCTGCATTTCTTCCATAGGCTGCTCAGGCTGGATGGCTTGTTCTTCCAGGACCATCTTGGGAAAATCATCTGGCCGAGTCTCCATCTCAAAATACAAGACATCCATAGCCTGTTTTAGTGCGTGACCTAGGACTGTATCCTCACCCGACTGTCTTAACATGGTTTCTGCACGTTCTTGCACCCTTCGAAGACGACGAGATGAGAAAAATGTGGCCCTGACTTGAAAAGCATCCCTCATCCA